GGTGGCGAAGGCGGAGCTCACGAAGGCTCCAGAGTACTAATGGCGTACAATTGGCAACGGAAAATTAAAAACGTCTCGCTTCCTTAGGCCCTGGACTACTGCTTTCGTTGATACACGTACTTCAATGCTTGCACACACACTCTACTGCAATCTCTCGCTTTATGACAAGTCTCTCACCATCAACCGAGGTACATGGTACTTGTTAGCGATCCGCGGAGTGGAAGCGTTATGGGGAACAATCTTATCAAATCATCCTCAGACAATCCCTTTTTTATAACGGTAGGTGATATGGCGTCCCATTTATCCACCACTTTAGGCCAACGTATTCTGGTTATTCGTGTTCGGTCTTCCTCCACAACGTCTCATTAGTTTATCCTAGACATGTTCTTTAAAACCCGACTGAACCAGTCGATGACTTCGTTTTGGGAAGTCTGACCTGTTGCTGTCAACAAGCCAATTCCATGACTATTGAGATCTCTTTCGGGCCTTACCGTAGTGCTCGCAGGGGCGCACTTACCTGATGTCATCACATACAGACGAGTAGGCAATAATAATAGGGGATAACGAATTTATGTCGTCCTTGAAATGCACCTTGCTTCATTAGTTCAAAATCCCTGAATAAGACTGCGGCGACTTCAAGCCCAGTCGTATAACTTCTCACCTATTTGGGCTACGTTCTAGTCTTGTCAATTTTCTGTCTGAACGGTAAAAATGCCATCGCCTGAACTCAGTTCGAAGGCAATTTCGACGCCATGAGAGGGAGAGGATGCTACGTAAAAATCTGGCGGCGTCTGCGAAATTCGCTGTGGGACCGCACAGTACCGTAACCCGCGCCCGCGTGCTAAGTTGCAGCTGGCCTAAATATTTTATATTTATTATTATATTATAATTTGTTATATTATATTATAATTTAAAATTATATTATAATTTGTTTATTTGCAGTGAACCTATGTCGATGATTAGTGGGTATGAATTACCCTCGAGAGGACATCCGGTACCATCTTCAGGTGTAAGCCATGGTGGAGACAAGGTCAGTATCAGAGCGGTAGAGGGTTTTTCCATTTCTATTGAGATTTACTAAAAATTCGAAGGTGACTAGTTTAGTAGCGTAAATGTAAAACATGAGCGGTGCAGTGTTCGGAAGGCATGAGATTTTCGTTGCTTCCAATAAGCTAATGTTAGTCTGTCGGTTTTTGTCACCCTTTAATATCTGTACAACGAGGATGATTGAATCTTCTTGTTTCATGCTTTCTGACTGAAATTAGCTTGTTGTTATACTTATCATTAAGTATAACAACATCTTTGTTTTGGAATGAACTATTTTAATTTAAGGACAAGTTCTTCAATTTCAAGTCCACAAAAGTGCACTCTGTTCTGTCGAAAAGTCGAAGTTTGTTTGACGCTCCAAAGACTGCACGTGAGTGCGATTTACGTACTTTTACTTAGTTTGGCGTTTCATTTCTTCAGTTTTCGTGGGTTTCGTTCAATCTCTGGTGAGTTGTGAATATTTTTTCTGGGCGTGATTGTTTTCTACACCGTGGCTGTATGTGACCGCGTACTGCAAGCGATGGGAAATAAGATCGGATCTGCGTGTGTATGTGTTTGTACTCCGATGTTTTATTCCTGGATGTGATGGCATCGAGTCCTCACAACTCGTCATAAGGCAGTCTTGTTAACTGGTTTGCTATGCTGTCATCGACGTAAGTCGAGGGCAGTTTCACGATTGTGACCCCCCCCCCGTGTCCACTGCCTTATACACAATGCGCTTATTAGGGGTGGTGAGGAGCAAAAAATAAACTTATGTGTTATCGAGATTCCTTCGAAAGATATACGATGTGTTACATGTCATTCGTGCTACTATACACAATCAGCGATGCTACACATTGAACTCTTACGTTGCTGTTTACTGTTACCTCATCCACACGATTCCCTCTCTAGTATTCAGACTGGGCGTAAAATTGCGGTGGATGCGTGCGGTGCGCAATCAAAAACAGACGTGGTGTAGAAAATAACAGCTCCATTCTCATTGTTTGTTTGATGTTTTTTTTCCAAAGGGTATTTTTTCAGTGAAAATTATGCTTTAGTTTTTGTTCTAACCTTTTCTTGTTTGCTGTTTTTATTGTTTGCAGCTTTGAGAAAGAAACAGTAATACAATAATAATGCAGTATTAACAGTATCACAAAAACAACAATAAGAAACACAGTTCAAAAAAAGCACCGCAAAGGAAAGTATCATTTATTGGGTTGTTACGTAACTTGCTGGCAAAATTTCAACACTTTTTTTTAGGTTTTGTCATTCCTATTGGTACAAATACCAAAGCTAAATTTGGGTTGAATATTCATTGCCATAATCTCTTTCAATTTCAATCAATTTTTGCTAGATTAGTAGTATAGAAGCAAATTGTGAGCCTCAGAAACATCAAAATGCGGCCTTAATATTGCAGACATGTCGCCAGGGAATGAAGAACGCCTCTGTTGTCCTTTATGCGGCAAGGTCATGCTAAGGAGAAATGTGTACGACCATTTGAGAAAGATTCATGACTGTTCTGAACAAGAAGTGGAATCAATGAAGACGAATATAAAAATCGAGGCTAACGCAAGGAAGGATGAATTCCACATAATCTGTCCTGTCCTGCGATGATCAGTTCCTTGACCAGGAGGAATTAGCTTTTCACTGCAACAAGGAACACACTCACGATGGTGCAAACGGCGAAGAACAGGACTATACTGTGCACAACCTAGATTTTGCATCCAAAAAAGAGTTTGAGGTGCAGCCTTTACAAAAGTTCTTGAAATTGGTTTATTAAAAGCTTCGGTTGTGCTGAGTGTGGATTGAGAGTCAAAAAAGATTTTGCAGATGTGGCTCAATGAAATTTGTGAAAAAACGGTAACATCTCTTTACAAGAACACGAAGTCCGGCAATCTTCTCTATTATAGGTAGTATTGATCTTGCCATATGATAGAAGGCTTTGTAACCTTGTATTTCTGCAGATGCAATCGCTCCGGGAAGTTCGTTAGCAAGAGTAAGCATAGAATCAGTTGCACCAGGAAGGCAGTTCTGCACTGCTCATGTTTCGTAAACGCTCGTTTCAACGATGATGGAACCGTGGGCGTGAAAGCATGTTTTGGCCATGCTGGCCACGAACTGGAGCCGGCCCTTCTGCACTTATCAGATTCGCAACGGCAGTATCTCAAGTCATTGTTGGAAGGTGAAGCAGTAGTTGAGGCAGGCCTGAATATCGCTAATTAAAAGTTTCCAGAGAGCATTCGTTGGACTACGTCATCAGAAAGTGTAGGAAGGATTTTTCGGCTAAGGACTCGAGGATGTACTTCATGACCAAGGATGACCTTTGGAACATCGTTAAGAAATACGGTCTCAGGCCTGGTTATCGAGATGCTGATGATTTGAAGTCGATTCAGTTGCGGCATGCGGAAAATAATGAAGACGATGGCATACGTCTCCTGGAAATGCCGAAAGATCCCAGTGGAAAGGGCTTCACTATGGGTGAGACTAGGCTTGCAAATACTGGGAGAAGAATGCAGTTTATACCAATTTCAGTTATAATCACACCGCTACAATTGCATTGGTTGAAAGCGTATTCTTCTCGAGGCATTTCTATGGCTGACATTACATGGTGCTATACAAGTATAACCTGAAATTAGCAACAGTTGTAGTTGCTGACGAAAGAGATAGAGGCCTCCCTGCAGGTTAGCTCCGGGAATCTAGAGGTTGAGATAATCTGTAATTAGCCATCTATAATTTCAGCTTTCCTGCTATCTTGGTACGATGGGCACGGTAGATGTTGAAAAACTTTTCAAGGAGATCAAAAAGTTGATGCCTGAGTTTAATCCCAAGCGGATCGTTACCGATGAGGCGATGTGTTTTTATAGTGGATTCCGATCAATATTCCCGTTGTCGACGGCAAAGCTGCATTATTGCTCGTGGCACATCAGTAAAAAGTTGGAACAATAAAGTTAGAGAAACGTAGTTGAAGTGAGCCTATGATTTTTTCTCGTACTGATGGGAAGTCAATGCAGTTTTCTCAGCCGCAACACCGCGCTCAAGTGAACATGGAATTGAAACAGCTATTGCTTGTGGGGCAGTTGGCCGATTTCCAACAGAAGTTTGCGCATGTTCTAATCGCCCTTTTTTAGAATGTTGAAAGGCATCATAGCATGGCACAATACTTAAGGACTAATTATCCTGGTGAGTTTATGAAAGATAATCGGGTTCCCATGAAGTATGTTTGAGCTCTTCCCAGGTCGAGTAAAAAGCTGGGCATCCTTCCACGTTGATGGAGCCGTAATGGACACCACGATGCTGAGCGAGCGCTGGCATTTGCGCTTAAAAAAATGAAGTTCTGCACAGAAACGCAAACTCTCGGATTGATTGCTTAGTAGAGCTACTGATACGTGCTGTCGAAGACCTTGCAGATTCAAATGAGATCAAGGTAGATTTCGTTCATAAGCTTTTGGTGAAGGCAATCCTGAATTGGACACGTTTTTAGGACCGACGACGCCTCGCGCGAGCATCTTTCCGAACACAGCAGACGATTATAAGGCATCGCATGGCCCAAGCGCATTACCAGGAAGATTTGAAAAAATCATGTCGATAGGCATAAGGAAATGGGAGGTCGAAGGAAAGAAAGCCGGGATGCAAGTAAATATATTAGTTGATGGACAAAGGGGAATGCATATGTTCCCTCCCATCGCTTGGAAGTAAAAATGTGCATTGCCCGTCGTGCAATGTGTGTCCATACTCATGGAGGTGTAGCTGTTTGGACAATAGAGCTGGCATTTCATGTGTTCATCGACATGTCGTAAAAATATTCGAAGACACGAATGCAGCTTTCGGTGAAGAGCAGCGGCCACCAGTGATGCAAGAGCACGAAGAAATGGCTTTGCCCTCTACATCTAGCGATGTTGTTAGCGATGCCCAAAGCCGTATGGACATGAGGAAAAGCATACGGAATAAAATAGAAATGGTGAGTTTCCCACAAGAACAGAGTTGCACGGCTTGAACCCTTATTTTTCCAGACATACTCCGTAATCAGTGCAAACGTGAATAGCTCGTCAACAAACGACTTGCCCGAAGAGGCTTAGCAAAATTGCTTCAACATTCAAAAAATCTCATTGATAAAGCATCAGAAATAACACTGCACTCCAGCTCTGTGGAACCTCAAATTGCAGTACGTCCCGAACTCACTAAGCCTGGAATGAAACCACTTTTGAAGAAAGCCACATTATACACGGTAAGATATCCTCTGGTTCCTAGATGGACTCCCACTTTAAGATGAACTGTTTTCAGAGGGCAGAATACAGGAGAAAGCAAAATGCTGATCGCAATAACAATAAGCTATCGCAAGAGTGAGACACGTTTGGAAAAAGGTTAAGAAAGCCATGACGAAACTGTTAGTAAATCGAACTATTGTGATTTGGTTATCCGTTGCGCAAGCATAGATGGAGTTATCACACTTAGATTGCTACCGGTAATCCCTCTTCCATTTTACTTGAAGCTAAAATCTCGCGAATTTGAAAGCCGACCAGTATTTCTTCTATATTGAAATATTCTTTTATATGGAAATCTTGGAATGAAAGGCTTCAAAGGTTGGTTTCATTTGGAAATCTTGTTGAAGATGCTCTTCAGGTTACATTTCTGTTAGTCAGCATAGACTCCGACTCACGTGATCATGTTTTGCGGCGCTTTGCAGATGATGGGGACGATAAAAAGGTACGTTCTTGCTTTATGGTGTTCGGTAATTGAAGGAGACTGTTATGGTAGTTAAAGGGTTTTCTGTGAGCTCTACTTCTGCGTCTTGTTATGGACTCTTTTCGATCACGCGCACGCACACAGGGCACTTTATAATCGAGCACTACCAGGCTTCACGTGAGATCCCTAATGCATTCGAAGTTTTAGTTTGACGACAAAAATCCGCTGTTGTTCTTATAGTGAAACACGTAACATATTGGGTAATAGCTGTGGATTGCTTGTGGCACAGGTTTACCATAAATATCTGAGTCTAATTATAGAATGTTTTGATTTGATCTATTTGATCAAGGTTTTCAATAGATCTTGTAGGTGTTTGAGTACCAACTCCAAACTTGTTGGCGCGAGCGATCGAAGGCATCGAAAGTGGAGGCGTCATGGTGTAACTCATGTTGAGACCGTCAACTCACAGCGCTCACTTTACACAATAGCAGTGGTTAGTAAATAGATAGTATGTCCGTTTTTGAGTAATTCAGGCGATTTAAATTTTTCTTGTATCGGTCAAACGATTCTTCATTCCTGTTATGATGCTAGTTTATCATTTTTCAGAATGTTCATAATGTTACCGCACCGAGTCCCATACTATAGTCATGGTTCTTTTCAATGAGCCCTTTTTTCTATTGCCAGCAAGCTGCAAGGATATAGTCGTTGTCGACGATCAGTCAATATTCTCCCAATATTTCGTCGCATTGCTACGCTGGAGCCAGGGACCGTATGCAGAGGTAGTCTCTTCCTTAAGTTTGGCTTTAATTGATTCTTCCACTTTTTACCCATTTTAGGTCCTTGTTTCGTGTTTATTGCATCGACGATGGGAGGTTATGAACGGTCGCTGCAAGAAGCGTTGGAGGCGAAAAGCCAATGTCAAGCACTGAAAATTATTGGATTATTCCCAAACGCATAATAAATGCTTAGTGTCATGACAATGGTTTAGTTATGTTATTTGTAATTTGTTGGTTTTAATTGGTGGTTGCCATTTGCAATAAAACACAACAGTTGCTTTTGCTGATTGCATGTTTAACCTCCATACCTTACTTCAAACATAAGCAGCTGTTCAGTAGACTCATGCTCTGAGCAGGGAAACCCATAGTTTAGCTTCCCCAACTTCCATACTATTGAAAGAAATATTTTCTTGCGCAGCTCTGATTGGAGGCGGCTTCGAGGTGCATTACTTCGTTTGCACCAAAACAAGTGTTGCAATATGAAGACCTCACACATTTGCCTCCACTTATTCGGCTTTGTAAATCCCGGACATAATGTGAGATCCATTTGGAAGAATGAGTATTTTAGAGTGTAGAATAAAGGATCCTGCACAACGAAAGCATATCTTACGATGAATAGGGAGCTCATTGGAAATCGATTTGAGATGCTGAACGATGCATGACTGGAGAAAAAAAACCTGAGTGGGCGAACAATGCAACAAAAGAGTGAAGTGAGTAGTGAGTACGAAAACAAAAATGTTTGTCATTGCTTTCATTTTGGATTTACCTTGGATTTTCGACATAGCGATTATTACTACGTTGGCCCATTTTCAGTTGTGTACAAAACAAAATACATACCTTGATTGAATATTGGAGAATTAATTTTACGTTGGATAGGCAGTACTTTATCACAGCGAAGAAAGGCTCTGGTCCTATTCATGTCAAAATGCATACAGTCAAGGTGAGGTTCCACGATAAGGTCGGATGTCGAAGAAGAGGAAATGTACCCAGTTATAGTTATACCCAATCAGAAATGACATTCGATATTGTGACAACGAAGAGAGCACCTAAACTGCACGGAACAAAGAACGGAGGTACTGGTCGGAATAGTCGTGCCAATGACGGAATGGTTTGCCGTTTGGATAAGGCTGGGTAGTTCCGCTGTGTTCCTTCATCCTTTGTATTCTTCCGCCTACTGCTTAATTGTACATGCTGGTCATGTAATAAACATAACACAACATTATGGTCAGTGTGTAATGGCGAGACAATGCTGCTGTACGATTGGAGTGCTCCAGTGACGCAGCCGCGACGCGACCGCCGTTTCGAAGACGCCGCCAGATTTTTACGTAGCATCTATGAACGTGGCTGAAAAGATGTGCAGGTATTATTCACGAAAGATGCATCATCTGGCTCCTTGGGAACACTTACCTTCTCTTGGACATATTCGACGCCACCTTTCAAGGACA